CTGGGAATGTGGCTCAGTGGTTGAGCGTCCCTGGGTTCAATCCCTAGTATACACACACACACACACACACACACACACACAAAAAATCTGCTGGTTGGGTACATGAGGATATTTTCTCTCTCTCTCTCTCTCTCTCTCTCTCACACACACACACACACACAAAAAAAAAAAAATCTGCTGGTTGGGTAAATGAGGATACTTTAATAAAATAAAATGTAGCAATTCCTGTTCATTCAGTTCTTCCACCCACACTTGACTTTTGCTAATGGCTATACATAGAGCTAAGTCTGAGTTTTAATCCTTCAATTCATCCTTAAAGGAGTGGAAAAAGAACATGGGGTAAACAGGARTCACTTGAATCTAAATCAGAGAAGAAAGCCAGGAAGCAAGAGATAGGTTGTACCAGGAGATTGATATTCAGAAAGAACCAAAATTACCCTGGGTTCTGGCTCCTGTCTAAGGCTGTGAAAACAYTGAATTAATTTTAGGTCTAATTCCTCACTATTATCTTCCTCTGATCTCTCCTGGCTTTTTTGATTATTGGTTAMAAAGCCTTTTTCTTTGTAAACCATCTAAAAGTTTTTAGCTATTATAATAAACCTTGCTTGTTTGGGTTTGTTCTCAAAGATGGCTCTAGTTCCAATTAGTATGGCAGTGAAGACAAAGGCATATATAAAATGTATCTCAAGTCTCTTTCCTGGGACCATGTAAAACACACATCAAGCAGGCAGGAAGGAAGTTTGGAAGGAATGATGCAATTTATAATAATTCTCCTTATCAAGAAAGTACTGTGTTCACAGGGAAAGATTACTCTAATAGGACCTACAAAGGTTTATTTTGGTTACTTACCCCCTCAAAGGCCTTTTTAATAATCTATTTACAGAAAATGAAGACAAATCTAGTCTGGAAATTAATGAGATAAAATATAGTTTGATCCAACTGGTTAGGTATCCACAGGAAACCCCACTACCCCAGATGAGAAGGACAGAATGAGCCACGTTAAAACAAAATGAATATCTGAACATTTTACAGTGMTTTCCAAAACCTAGTACAAATACTCTGGGTAAATAACAGTTCCTAGTTAGAGATTAATTTTTGAGCCAGTGACTATTYACAAAGTCAAATCTTTAACAGTTGTGTATGTAGACTATTTTAAATGTGTTACTCCATTACTGTTCCCTGTTTTTCAATTGAAAATGAAATTGCTAATACTGAGAATTACTTAAATTTCAAGCACTCACTTTGCAGGATTTCCTCAGTAGAACCTATTATTTGTCTGAAGTTATTCTTTCAGAATAGTAGCTTCCAAACAGAGCAAATTTGTAGTCATCTAGAAAAAGTGACAGATCTCAGGGATGTATGGAATATTCACATGAAGAGTCAAAAGCACACAAAAAGTGCTACCTAGGTTGGAAGTACCAGGATATTAACTGGCATATCCTCAGCTCAGGCAATGTCCATATATAGCTCAGTTGGCAGAGTGCTTGCCTTACATGCATAAGGCCCTGGGTTCAATCCCCAGCTCCAAAAAAAAAAAAAAAAAGTTAATATATGGGAGAAGAACAGAAGATCTTTATAATCAGGCTTTTCACAGTGGGGAAAAATAGGGATAATACCTATCACAACTGAGTGATGATATTACTAAATAGACTCTAATGAACATGAATACAAAATTTCCACTACTATACATTTCTGATTTGATAATAATATTAGATCAACTTTTACTAAAGAAGAGTAAAATGCAAGACCAAGAATTTGTCTTTTTTCATACTGAGGATTGAAACCAGGGTTGCTTTACCACTGAGCTACATCCCTACTCTTTTTTATTTTGAGATAAGGTCTCACTAAGTTTTGGAGGGCTTCACTAAGTTGCTGAGGCTAGCCTTAAACGTGTGATCCTTCTGCCTCAGCCCTCCCAGTTGCTGGGATTATAGGCATGCAGCACTGTGCCTGGCTTATATAAGATTTTGATTTGAATGTGTTGTAAAACTATAATCACATTTAATGCCGATGGGATTAAAGTGCTGTGTGATGTCATTTTGTCACTTTGCTAATATTTTGAGCCAATTGAAATTTTTATACAAATATGTCAAGTATTACCAAACATCTTTTACTCCTCTTGAACAATACTAGATGTTTTTTTAAATCAGAACATTGAATGTGTATATTTTAATATCAACATGGAGTCACTGAGATTTTTTTTTTTTTTTCTCAATGTCACGTCTCAGAAATATATGCAATTAGGGCTGGGGATGTGGCTCAAGCGGTAGCGGGCTCGCCTGGCATGTGTGTGGCCCGGTTTCAATCCTCAGCACCACATACAAACAAAGATGTTGTGTCCACCAAAAACTGAAAAATAAATATTAAAATTCTCTCTCATCTCTCTCTCTCCTCTCTCTCTTTAAAAAAAAAAAAGAAGAAAGAAATATATGCAATTAAAATCAGATATTCATGTTGGGATACAACCAAGGATTCCTTTATGTAGCCCTTTGCTTCCAGGCCACATCTGCCTAGGAAATCACAATCCATCACTGTCCAACTCTCTCAGAATGAAATGCACTGCCTGGAGTTCACAGGAACAACCTCATCTAACCACTGGATGATGTGCTCACAGGTGGGCAAGTGAGCTGTCCTCCCTGTTGCCAGTGAACTCCCCATTCCCCAACAAGGCCAGCAGCCCCACTCCATCTTCCCCCATGCTGTGAGTCACCACTGTGCTTATGAAGATAAGCCCAGAGCATGAACATTTTATCATTCACTGAAACACAAAAGGGACACACTTTTCCATTATGCTGGACGCTGGAATGGAAGCTCTAGGAAGTGAGTATAACATGAAATCATTCCTTCCGCTTCAGCAGACAGATGGATAGAGACATTCCAGTTTGTTTCCAGCCTTTTGTCTTCAGAGCATTTTTGGCATTTCCTTCAGGAAACTGGAGGTTGTGACCTAAGGTTTCCTTAGTGGACACACTTCTGTTTCCCACAGTTAACCTTACTCAGAAATGACATCTACTCTATTAGGTGAGGTTTATCTTTGTGTCCCAACTGCGTCCTGTGCACATTCAATGATACTTGAAAGCACAAATTCTGAGAGTAACAATAGGGCTGAAGAGCCAAACACACCAAAATACCTCTATTTAATCCCAATAAAGATGACAATAATACCAAAATGAGAATTACCAATTACAAGTCTGTGAAGTACCTTTGTAAAGTAACTTTGCTTTAATTTTATAGTTGAAGACATTAATAACTAAGGATGTTAACTCTTTTAAATACAACTGAGTAGAAAGTTTTCAAATAAAAGATGCTATGCTACTCAACCTAAAATTCTACAACTTGCTACTTCACTGATATAGTATATTCCCATATTGCTCAGAAGACAGGCTGGAGAACCCAAAAGTGTCCTAAAAAATTAAGTTACTCCCTGTTATATCCCATATCTATAATCCTGCTTCTCAGCTTATTGGTGAAGGGCCAGGAACATACAATTCTGTTAATTGGTTTGAAGTGATCATTGTGGGTCATAATTTAAATTAGATTGACAACTACACTGTTAATTATTTAAAAAAAAAACATGTTTTAGGACAGACTTATTGTACTTAATTTGGTTTGGCTTTAATGTAATTTAAAGCTCAATTACATTTACTTACCAATGTGGTATTGAGAAGGTTGGTGGTTTTTCACATTCATTGGACTCTTCACTGTGAACTTACAAAGGTTATCTTCCTGAAAAAGATAGAGTGGTTTCTAAACAAACCACATTTTTTTACACACTAGTTTATCAGAGTCAAGTCCTTTAAAGAATAACAGAAATTTGCCCTTAACTGTGATTCCAAAGAGCCGCATAGTCAAAGAGAGTATCTCAGTAATGATTTTTAAAAATGCTCTTCACAAAGAGATCTTTAAAAAAGATCAGTTTATTAATGTTTAAACGTTGATAAAGCTATGTGCAAAATAATCCACAAAGTCAGAAACCTATTAAATACTATATTTTTTTAAAAAAACATTTCTTTGTTTAATTGCACTGAAAAACCATACTAATGAGACAGCAATAAATTTTTTATTCTTTGCAACATTTATACACATCTTCAATTACTATCAGATGAACAGTTATACTGAAAAACTTCTGGTGCTCCCTATCAGTTAAAGTAATGCTTTTAAGGGCACAAGAGGATGGTATTTTTTTTTTTAAGAAATACACATTCAATGGTGTTAACACAGGTTAGGGGAAAAWGTCCAATGAAATGAGCTCTGCTGAAAACAAATACATTCAAAATTCATAAAAAGTATTTTTAACACAACAAAATGCAACCATCCTGTTGGTTGGAATGAATCACACAACACTCTGAAATAAACATCAACAAAAGTGCCAAAGACAGATGCTGTATTTGTTAGACAAAGTCATTAAGGAACTCTCTTGGTTTACCAAAGTTAGCTCCCAGTCAGTTTTCACCTTGTTTCTCCTGCGACTGTAAGGATTGGGGCTAAGATATCATTTAGATAAAGTCGACTTCCTTATGCTGATTACAACCACAATGGATATGACACTTTTGCACATTTCATTGTAAAGATGTTTAAGAAAAAAAAAAATCAAAGTGACTTCAATCAATTATCCAAAAAAAAAAAAAAAAAAAAAAAACGGATCCAGCTTATGTGGACACTTTGGCCTCAACAAATGAAATTGCTGTACATCTTCAAACCGTTTCCATCTCCTCACAGCCTACCTACTCAGCACAGCCTTCCTGCTACAGATGGTCAAGAAATGGACCAGGGCACAACCTCTACTCTGAGGACCGCCAGGTAGTTACAATATAAAGTAAAAAAAATATCTCCAGGAGGGGTGTGAACAGGGAGGGGAGGGTGGGCTATGCAGAGCCTCCCCCAGACAAGGAGAAGTGGACACACTCACTTGGGTTTGAAACTACAGTGAAAAAAAAACATCTTCTGCTTACAACTCCAGACAAAGAGAAGCTTTCACATAGAGACTTTCAGTCTTTGAGGAGGGGCCAAATGAACCCTTCAGGAGCTTGACAATGCTAGACCTTTGGCTCAGTGCAAAATCAAAGCTCCAGGGGAATAGGAAATAGGCTCCAGGCAGGGGACCTGACTCCACCCTTCCCAGTGCATTGTTCACAGGAACTAAATACCCACCAACACCAGGCACCACCACCACCCCGATTCTCCCCCTCCCTCCCTCTCTCCAGCTCCTTCCCTCGCAGCACCTCCTTCCTGGCAGCACTTGAGGCCCAGAGCCCTTTTTCAAATACTGGGGTTGGGGGGGTGGGTGGTGACCCTGTAAGAGCACTTCCCGAGGATTGGCAGCATTCAGCTTTAGGAAGAAGAGTTGACGTTTCCAGAAGACATAACGGTCTCTGGGTTGTCGCCATCATCCTTCTGAGGGTGTGAGGAGTTGTCCGATTTACTACGGCTGAATTCCATACCAGCGATGATGGGTCGTTTGAATTTGCCGGTGGAGTCTCCACTGGGGCACTTGCAACAGGACATGATCCGGATAAAGGCCCGGCGCATCTCCTTGTTGGTCAGCGTGTAAATGATGGGGTTAGTGCCAGAGTTGAGCACTGCCAACACCAAGAAGTACTCGGCTTTGAAGAGGATGTTGCAGGTCTTCACCTTGCAGCCCACGTCCAGCAGGAGCAAGATGAAAAGGGGTGCCCAGCAGGCGATGAAGACGCTCAGGACAATAATTACAGTCTTCAGCAAGGCCAGCGACTTCTCAGAGCTGCGGCTGGCCTTGGACATGTTTTTGCGGAAGGTCAGACGGCGGCTCCGAGTCCTGACCAAAGAGTAGATCCTGCAGTACAGAATGACGATGGAGAGCAAGAGGAGAGTGAAGACCGTGGTGCAGAAGAGGATATAGTGCTTGTGGTAGAGCGGGAGCACGGTGGAGCAGCTGGACAGGGTGTTGATGCAGTTCCAGCCCATGATGGGCAGGCCCCCCAGGATGAGCGAGATGACCCAGCAAGCGCTGATCAGCAGGAAGGAGCGGGAGCTGTTGCTCCCGTTGTGAAGTTTCATCTTCAGCATGGTGATATAGCGCTCGATAGCGATGGCTAGGAGGCTAAACACGGAGGCTGACAGGGCCACAAACATACTSCCTTCCCTCAGAAACCACTGGGCGGGGGTGAGCTTGTAGGTGGTGGCCCCAGACAACAGCAGGTTGGCTGTGTAGGCGACTCCCGCCAACAGGTCTGAGAGGGCCAGGTTACCAATAAAATAGTACATGGGCCGATGGAACTTCTTGGTTTTCCAAATGGTCAGCAAGACAAAGATGTTCTCCAGAATGATGCAGCAGCAGATGAAAATGAACACCACCGAAGTCAGTTTAATGCCATTCTCGTCGGGGCTGATATTCAGCTTTCCCGTGTAGTTGTAATGCCGGACTATGATATCATAGTTGACATAGTCGGAGACCGAACTGCGGAGGGCCTTGACTACCGGGATGCTGGTGGACACCATGGTGCTGCTGCACTGTGTCCCCAGGAACCCGGAGGTGGCACTTCTCCAGACGAACGCTAGAGGGCGAGGGCGAGCGGGGCTTCACTCGCTGCTGCTGGGGTGAAGATTTGTAAGAGATCCAGGCTTTTTTGTGTAGCTTAGCTTTTCCTTGACCAGAGAGGGCCTCCGAAACTGCAGCCTTAAACAAGTCACAAAGAGAAGAGCGTCAGGGGAAAAGCCATACCACACTATTCATTATCGCTAAGGCATTGCTCCAGTTTTGTTATTATTGCTGTTTTAAGAAAACCTGAGGAGAGTGCAGGGAGAAATATATATATATATATATTTGATTATCATATATATATAATGATATATATATATATGATTATCATTTCTAGGGGAGACGAGGAAGAAGAAGAGTAAGAAAAACCAAAAAAATTACCCACGCTGAAAACTTCAACTGGATGAATGGGAAARTCTCCCTATGTTCACATACACTCAAACTGAGATAGGAAACCTGGAGAAGGGTGCCCAGTAACTCCATTCCCGCCCCGCTAGCTCTCTCCCCCTCCAGCCTTTCAACCCCTGATACCCCAGGATTCTCTGAAATAGTCATCAGCTCATCTGCGTGCTCACACCAACAGCCCATAATCTCTACTCAAAGAGACTCAACTGGCAAACCTAAGGGCAGAAACCCACACCTGGGTCCCCTCACTCCACCCCACCCCGCCCCACCCCCAACTCGAAGAGATGAGCACCACCTCCTAATTGCCATGCAAGAAAGTAGCTTTGMACGAAAATTATTTGACAGCGTAAGTCATTTTCTGGGCTCTATTAATAACCGTCTAGGAGCAGGTGTGCTGAGGGTCCGAGGGCGTAGTGAGGTGTGGGCCGCCAGGCGCGCCCCAGCCCTGCGGTAAACAGGAAAGCTCAGCGCCTCCGTGAAGCAACTGCCTATTGTTTCTTCTCCCCCTCCCCCCAACCCCCGGCAAGCCTGGTGCAAGTAAATGTGAAGGTATTCAGTAAAAACCATTCATAAGAGATTGCAGTAAATCCCAGAAGTTTCACACGTTGATTGCATAAGCATTTTTAGTTCAGTCAACACAGGCACACACACAAACGAGAAGTTATACCACTAATGACAATACATGCTGCCACATTTCTAATTTCAGGGGGCAAAGCTACTCAGAAACAGGCATTATGATGTGCATTGCAAAACTGGCATGGCCAGTTGTAGTTAGTGCCATCCCCACAAAGCGCTGCCTCCTCTCATAGAACTAGAAAGTGTGAAGGAACGGCACAGGCACAAAGCATTAGTCTGAACAGGTCTACTTTTAAGTTGTTTAAATGTTTCAAAGTAATGCAGCATTCTGATTTTTTTTTTTTTTAAGTGGAGTAATAGAGGCAGGAGCAACTTCCCGGTCAGCACAGGCTGCCCGCGTTTGCCCCATCCTAACTCTATACCTTGCTGGGAAGCAGTGCAAGTTTAAACCATTACCCCTGTTCCCCCAAATTCTTCGTCTATAAGATTTCTAAAAATAATCGTCTTCTCTCCTTCTTCTGAAGAACCGCAACTTCCATCCCCCTCCCCCACCAGTCAGTTCTACATTTAGGGATTAATCCTTTTCCAAACTCCGTAAATCACCGGTGCTCCAAGAACAATCCGATCGAGTTGGGCTCCACAGCAGCCCAAGAGACAAATACTTTCAGAGCCCAGAGATGGATGTTTTCAAAGTTTTTGTCCGTTTCGTTCAAGCTTAAAAAATTCGTTTCTGGCACSTAGGCCCTCGGGCAGCAGTAAGTCTCCGCGCTCCCAGCCACCGCTGGCCAGAGCCCGGACGGTTCCTAGCCCCCTACCTCGCTCAGGCAGGACGAAGTTGCGTTAGGAAAGCTCCGGGTCTGCACCGCGCACTCCGCATCTTGCTGCTGCCCCCGACTGACTGCACTCTGCTTTCGCAAAGTTACTGGAGTCYGGGACCCTCCCTCCGCAGCCGTGCACTCCAATGGCCAGCCCCGCTCGCTGCTGCCCGCGCCAGTCTGCAAGGCAAAGTCGCCGAGCGCCACGCTGAGGCAGGGTGGCTTCCTTTAGGAGGAGATTGGGAGGGGTTAATGCCTTAACTCTTCACGCCCTCTCAGGGCTGGGGGCCCCCGGATCTGGGCTGCTGGGACACACCGTCCTGGAAAGATCTGGGGGGGAAAGCAAATAATGAAATAATAAAGAACCCTTCCCCCGGCTTTCCCAAGCAGCGAATCCACCCCGCACCCCCCAACACACACACACACGGTGGGGGCGGGGGAAAGAAGGGGCGGAGCCTAGTATCCCCTAAATTCTAAAGTAGAAGTCCTGTGCCTCGGCAGCCATCCTCCACTCCCAGACGATGCAGAGGGCTCATTCAAGCCCACGGAAAAGAGGAGGGGGGAACCTTTTGGAAACTTTTCTCCCCACAAGACAGTAGGGGCAGAAGACGACCCGGCGTTTCATAGTGCACCTCCCTGGTCCCTAGCCTTGCAGCTCTTGGCTGATCCCAGTGTCCCTAGTTGTCGCCGGCAGCCCCTGAGGCCACTTCCGCGCTGGCAGGGGAAACCGAAGCCGCTGCCCAGCGAGTCTCAGTCGCGCTSTGGGGAACAGAGGCTGGGAAGGAACTTTGAGAGGTATGGAGGGGCTAGAAGCCGAAAAGGGAGAGTGGACCGGAATGATCGGGTCCTCTCCCCTACCCCTCCAGCCCTGATCCCGGTAAGGCCTAGAAACTTTCTGTCTTGAGGGGCAGAAAGTGGTTTCCCCCCCTCCCCCGTTCATAGTGAAATGGGCCAGCATCGGGGTTGGTGTTGGGCGGGGGTTCCCCTCGTTCAACTGGGCACAAAGTCAGGCGGTGTGTCCCAGATTCAGGCCAACAGTGAGGCCTTTGAGGAGGTGGGCTGCTGGCCGCTCTTGAAAGATTTAGAAAATTGGGGAGGCTCTGAAATTCCCAAAGGGGAAGAGCCTCCTGGCCCAGCACAACTGAAGCACCCACAGTTGCCCAGCTAACCGCGGGTGCCCTTCTCTCTCTCTTTGCATTTGGGAGACAAACCCCAAAGCCCTGACTCTCAATATTTGCACCTCTCCCCCCACCCCCCCTTTTTTTTCTTAGACAGTACTTAAGAACGTGCATCTGAGAGTTGGCATTTCATCACATTTGCCTGACTGGCAAGCTCAGGGCACTTCTGCCCTGGCTTACTGCTATTGCTTTTTGTTTATTGCAGTACTAGGGGTTGARCCCAGGGGCGTTTCTACCATGGAGCTATAACTCAGCCATTTGTATTTTGAGATAGATTTTCACTGTGTTGTTCAGGCTGGTCTCGAACTTGGTGATCCTCCTGCCTCCCTAGAATCTAGGGTTACAGGCTGTGCTACCAGGACTCTCTGCCCTGCCCTAAAAGAAAAGAGGTTTCTACCCAGTCCCTGCTCACATTGCTTTCCCATCCTAGCAGATGTGAACTCAAAACTTCCTCCACAGTGCAGTTTCAATTGACAGACACACCCTGTACCTGAATGACTCAGAGGAGGCTTAATGAATAAACAACAGACCCCTGGCTTCTGGGATTTTATGAGTCTGTTTAAAAAAAAAAAAAAAGTGACAGTTAATTCACAATCACCTTAAAATCTACATCAGCAACAGCACTCAACCCATAGCCACAAATYCAGCAGTATGAACACAAAACATGGAAATTAAGATAATAGAACTCCAGACTCCAGAATAGACTGAATGGGTATAAAGACTTATTCCATTTGAAAGGGGAGAGATGTTGTGTCTTTCCAGCCAATAAAAGTGAAGAATTAGAGATCTCTCCCACACTCTGGCTGAGTTCTTTAAAGGGAAAAGAATTATAGTGAGTTGTGCACCTGGACAGTAGCAATCATGTGCTATTCTGACACTACTGCTCTGTGAAGCAAGCATGGCTGGCTATTTTTTCCATAAGGAAATGCCATTCAGCTTAAGCTAATTGTAGATTTCTTAATTAGGGAGTATTAGAACTGGGTTCCAAAACTTACCTACCACAGATCTCTGGTCTCCTAGTACAATATCACAGTCAATAAACAATTAAGGAACTGAAGTATGTATGTTATTAAAGAGAAGTAGTTCTCTTTATTCAAAGTCTTAAACTTGCATTCATKTCTGATTATGAAAATTATATAAAAGAATACTACAATATATCCTCTTAAAACCAGTTAGTTTTACTGTGTATGTATATAAAATGTAGGGCTGTGGGTGTAGCTCAGGGGTAGACTGCTTGCCTAGTACACTCAAGATCCATATTCCATCCCCAGCGCTTGATTGACTTCAAACCTTTCATTGCTAGCCTTCGATATATAATGAAAAGTTGTACTTTTAGTATTTGTGTACTTGTGCTATACATGTTAAGTCATTTGGTCCTTACAGTTTAATTCCTACAAGTTAGGTAGTATTATTATCCTAATCTTACAAACATGGAAACTGAGTCCCAGACTCAGTTTTAAGCATGTTGGTTAATGTGGGATATAACTGTAGACAGGCTGCAGACTCTTAACCGCTACTCCAAACCACCAAGATAAACCTCAAACGTGAAAGAATTACGTGGGGGAAATCAGTCCCTTTTGTTGTGAATACCATTGGTGAGGTCAACATTCAAAACCAGTCCAACGTTTTAAAGAGCTAATGATTTTTTGTAATCTTTTGCTAATGATTATTTAGTAGTATTCATCCTTAGTACATATCTAGGAGATATAAAATGTAGATGGCCACTCAGGCAAAATTAGGAAGCAGGTAAAACTATTTCCAGGGATGGTGTCTCTTTCAATTCTAGGTTTCTATACACCTCTCCCCAGTTAGGGAATAGTAGAACTGGGTTCCAAAACTTACCTACCACAGATCTCTACCACAATCTCTCTCAGATTGGTCTCCTAGCTTAATATCACAGTCAATAAGCAATTAAGGAATTGAAATATGTATGGTGAAATATGAGAGCCCCTAATAACTGCATACTTGAGCTRTCTCCTAGACACTAGTCTGGAAGTCAAGCCTTATGAGTCTACCTTATTTCTCTTCATACAAGGTTACATCTGATGCCTGGTTTACATTAAGATCACTCCATTTCAAATTTCTGATTCCAAAGCAACTTTGATATTCTTTATGTTCGTTTTGGCGTTTCTCTTTAAGGGTTGTCAGATAAAATAACATGCAATTTGGGGGGCATAAACTTAAAATTTTTTCTTTAGCCTGAAGTTCAAGTGTAACTGAGTATGTTGTATTTTCATTCCCTAAACCTGGCAACTCTACTCTTTCCTAATTGTTCCAGTCACTTTGCAACTCCCTACCTCAATCCCAGTAAAGATCCAATCCTTCCCTTACTCGTTTACTCAGTTATCCACAGGAAAATAACCAGATCCCTACTTCATGGAGAAAGCACTATGAAACACCTCCACTTCCCTTCCCTCCAAGTTTCATCTTAATAACTTCACCCAGCCTTACCTCCTTCCCACATATTTCAGAAGTCAAAGGATTTGTTCTTTATTTTTTAAATTTTTTTTTGTTTATGGGTGTTGATTTTATTTTTTTTATTGTTGGTTGTTCAAAACATTACATAGTTCTTGATATATCATATTTCACACTTTGATTCAAGTGGGTTATGAACTCCCATTTTTACCCCATATACA